CCTGATCGAATTTGTGGGGAGTGTATTTTTTCCCTGTCGCGGGTGTTGCACCCCCCCCCCCCCCCACCTAAGGGCAGCAACAGAGCTCTCCCCGAGGTGGCAGAGCTCAGCCGGCGCGCTGCAGGAGCATAAGTCTGCTGTCGTGCGCACAGGGCCTAGGCGTACTGGGCGCCACACGCATAGGCCCCAGGCGTACAGGGCCTATCCACACAGGCCTACAGCACGGACGACGCGCACACAGTGTGCGGCACCAGTCTGTGTGCGAAGTGATGTGCAAATGGCCCACCTGTGCGCGACATGACGCGAGCACAGGTCCTGACTTGCGTCATGCACGCAGATGGGATGTGCGCGCTGTGCGCCAGTCCCGTGCGTGCATGTGTGTGGAGGTGATGTGTGCGCTGTGCACACGTCCCGTATGTGCTGTGCGGACGCCCTGCGGCCATTATGCGCGCATGCGCGTGCACACAATGCTTAGCACCGCGCAGGCAAACTTGTTTTCCTGCGAATTTTTTCATCGCAAGCCGATTTTCTCCCATTTTGCCGTTTTTTAATTTTTTTTTCTAATTTTTCTTTTAAAATAAAGCAAAATAATGTAAAATAAAAATAATAGTAAAATTAATAAAATAAATAAAAATAGATTAAAATCATGGATCTCGAGATGCATAAATTAATTTAAATTTAGGGCGGCCAAAATGCCGAATAAATAGAGTTTCTAGATCATTTTAACACAGTGATGGGCGAGATATTACACTTTCTCTCCCTCTAGTCATAATTAATGAGTAAACTTATAATTTATCTCACGCATTCTATGAACTACTAGTTCATGAAATATGATAAACTGACATACTAAAATAACTACATGTCTCAAAATATCAATATTTCTTATCTAATGTGTGAATAGAAACGATACCAAATGCCTGAAATAAAAAGAAACAATGAGTATAATTATTCCAAATCAAAGCAAATCAAAGCATGCATTTTAATTAACGTTCTGGCTGCCCGAATCTCCATCATGAAAGCTTCTTATGAGTTCTTGATGGCTAGATCAGTCACCTACAACAACTAAGTGTTGTCTAATGAATGTGACATCAAACAAGAAAATACATACAAAAAATGCATAACTTTAAAACAAATCAAGATTTTTTTTATCGAATTCATTAAAAAAATTAACATATACTTAACTAGGAAATAGTGAAAATCTCATATAAAATGACAAAAGTTGAGCCCAAATGAAAGTTCAAGTGGAAATCAAATCAAAGGAGCATAAGTGAATTGATTCATGTCTTCAGTCAGCTCTCAGGTTAAGTTAGAAATTGAGGCTCTTTTCAATCAAAATAAGCCAGACATATCCATCATTAAGTGTAGGATAATTTCCACACACTTTCGCCTGTTTGGGGAATAAATTTTTAGTAATATTTTTTTAACTTCATTATATGTTAACAGAATTCACATAAGCCTATGACTTGACTCTTACCCTACCCATATCTTGACAAGTTTCATCCCTCTGCCAATATGCTCAATTCTGTTTTTTGTTTCCCAAATGATCACCCTTAATCTTGCTAATTACCCACCTGGTTTATCATTCCCAAACTACAGTTTCCTAAAATTAGACAGAATATGCCCTTACCACATACCAAATTTTCTCCTCACTCACTTAACCCCTGATTTTCCTTATACCCAATTAACACCTTTCTTATATGTAAGTTATAACTTCCCTAATTATTGGCTTCACTCCCTCATCACAACATCTTCTTCTTTGTGGCTCACCACTCGCTTGAGAGCATTCATTTGTATCTCACTAAATCTTTTAATTTACTTGGGATAAGGCAGGGTGGATTTTATAGTACACCCATACAGTGTAAAGAAAACTAATTTTTTAAAAAATTTGGGGCAGGTTCGATTTTAGCAAAACCCACACTGAATTAACCCCATTGCAATCCCTTAATAAATTTATTATTATATTTACTTCATTAGTGCTTCAAACAAAAACTAGCTAAATGTAAACATGGTCTAGTCTTGATAGTTACATCCTACAAGGAATTCATCATACTAACCAACTAACTGATAGAAGAAGGAATGATAGTTCGAGTGTGTAGCCAGGTTCAATAAGATTTGCCACCAATGCCACCTCTCCTTTTTTTTCTTAATAAGGTGGAAAAAGAAATCAGTAAGCAGTAAAAGAGCTTGTATAAAAAATTCAATCTCGACATTGCTTTCAGGCTAATGAAACAGGTTTGGGTAGAAAGAAATCAAATCAAGTAAGAATGAAGAAAATCTTACTGAAAATGGAATAATTCTTTCAAAAGATAAATGTCGAAAAAAAAATTAAAGTCAAGCTATAGAGGAACTTGTTTTACAGACTTGAAAGAAAAAGCTGTGGATCTCATGAAAAGAATGAGAGGAAGCACAGAGTTGAAATAAAGTTGAAACTCAAGCAATCATATCCATAAAGACGAGTGAATATACAAGCAATGAAAATATAGAAAGGAAAATATCAAATGCACTCAGACAATTCAGAAGAAAAAATTGAAAGTGTGAAAGAACATCGGAATGATGACTTTCCCATCAATTTAAGTTTTTGGATGATCAGAAGTAAGAACAATTATCAAACATCCTAGCAATTAATTCAATGAAGAATTTGCTATGAAATCTCAACTTCAGGACACCATGAAGCATGAATTATCAAACATCCTGACAACTAAATTTGTTTTGAATCTGACTTACAACACAAAAAGAAAATTCTCCAGTACAAAAATAAACAAATAATAGTGAGTTCATAAAATGCAGTTGGCCTCTCACATGTGCATGAACTTTTATTTTCTTGAAAGTAAAAAGTTGAGAGCTTTTACTTTTGTATAAACATAACATGTAACCAAATTATCTTTGTCTTTGAACCAGAGGACAATTATTTTTTAATTATTTAAGACTACATTTGAAATATATCTATAAATTTTGTGGGATTCACTTAAAAATTTACAAAGTTTAATTAGGACTAATAAAAATTTTATTAGAAAATTGATAAAATTTAAGAATTAAAATAAAACATTCTAGATTTCATTAAAGAATTTAAACTACATTCGTCTTATTCTACTTAAAATTATCTATAGGCTTCTTTTTTTATATAATATCCAAAAAAAGGTTAAAATAGCTGTAGATCTCCAAATGAGTTCGATAATAATTCTTGATTTTTTTCCAAACATAAGCTAATCCTTACTTGGTCATAATGGATATGAATCACAAGGTTTGGATATCTAACACATGCATGCAGGTTAGGCTCCATTCAAAAAGCTTTATTAAACAATACCCATCATTTGAGAAGATATGTAGACAGATACAAAACAATCACTTTGAATTCTTTTGACTCAGGAAATACCCAAATAAAAAATCCTTTGTCAACCCTATACATCTCATGGAAAAGACAATTCTGGAAGTCTACATGCAGATATAAAAATGCACTTATGATGAGTAGCCTATATCGCAAAATCATATCAAACTTATTAATGTTTAGAATAAACAGAATAAATGGTTTTGATTTGTTTTGTCTTTCTTCTTTTTGTTCAAACCCTTGTATTGATTTACAAAGTCAAAAGAGAACAAGCCAAGAATCAACCCTAATCTCTAAGAATTTCCAGCATATAAAAAAAATAGAATAAACCAGGAACAAAAAAAACAAGTCAAATAGAATGCATATGAACTTACAAAAACAACACTGGGTAACAACTCCTCTTCCACCAAAGATTCAAGCTTTGGAAAAAGAAAAAAATAAACAGAGGGAGTTTACCATAGCTAAGAAGAACATTATTCAGAGAAGATTGGAAGGTGAGGAACGAAAGAAATACATGCAAATCAAATAAAAAACAAAAGAAATTGATGCTGAAAAAAAAAATACAAAAATACTTACCGATCGAGAAGGTGAAGAACATAAATCAAAAGTAGAATCAAGCACCTAAATTTTGGAAGCAATCAAAGAAGAAGAACAAGCAGATATTGATCGAAGAAGAAGAATATTGGAGCTGTTCAGTCCTCCTTGCGTGTAGCTTGAATGAGGAAAAAATAGAAAATAAGGTTTTTAATTTGTGAGAATAAAAATAAAATTAATTATATTATATGAGGTATAAGAAAAAAAAAAAACCTGCTGGTCACATATCAACAATTCGATAGTTTAAAAATTCATTTTAAATTTACCGGTCAGATACCGTTTGTTACAATTAGAAGTTAAAATAAATACGATTTTTCACACATGTGAAATACCATATATTAAAATTCTATCATTTATCATGATCCAAATAGAGTGTAAAAGATTTCTATGTAATTTTACTTTCTACTATTTATATAACAAGAATTTATCATTTTTTTTTAAAATGATATGTTTTTTCTTTTGGATTTCAGAATGTTTATTAAAGCTAACCGGCGGAATTCCGCTTTTAAGCTAAAAAAATTCTGAAGCTTTTGAGCCGCAAAAAATCGAATCATCCATCGGAGACTTTCCTGCACCGGATTCTTTCTATCATTCAACGTCACCACCTTATCGTCGTCTCTTTTCATTCGCCCCAGACCCTGAGAATGTACTAATCACAGGTTGGTTTTCTGAAGAGTAACTCAGATGGATCAATTTGTTTCTGTTTTTATTCTGTTGGGGAATTAAAATTGTTTCATTGAAAAAGAGTCAAGATGAAAAATTCTGCAGCAGGTGATGAATCTTTTGTTTTGTTTTGGGTACTGCAGACTACGTGTTCGAAGAAATGTCTAAACTGAGATTTCAAATTATCAATCATGTTGGTTTTCCAAAGAACTGCTGAGTGCTACGAGCTAATTTTCTTTGAGTGATTTGAAAATGATATTCTATTTAGTGTTAGATTTATATTGTAGTTAAAATG